TGAGGACTAGGGCTGGGTATTGTTCAAAAATGTTCGGTACCGGTACCAATACCGATACCTTCACTTCGATACCGGTTCCTGAACGATACTTTTTTCGATACCAGTTTTATAATATAAATTCGAAGAAAAAGAAAATTACTCAACATAAAACAGTAAAAATCTTGAGTTTTATTTTAAGCTCTGATTTTTCCATTTACATTTTTCCTCTTACATAAAAAAAAAAAAATTAGTGTCTAATATTCACTGTTACATTGTGAGGACCTTTTTACTTAGCAGTTTTCCTTTAGAAAAATTACCATGTCTGACAAACAAGCCCGTTGAATGGGATCCTACTAACAGCGCACCGCTGGTATGTGGGGGTCTGAGCGGCTCCGACAGAAAGAATATTGGAAGGCAGGATGAACTGACTGCACTGATTAAGTTTTCAGGTGGATTTTCCCACTTAAAAACATAATAAAACTACTTTATTCCCACTGATCACAGCAAATATAGCTGTAAGGCAGAGACAGGATAGAGTAGCTCCGCCCAACGCGCGTCAGAGCTACTTTTCGACCGCGCAGCCAGAGCAGCAAAAGCTTCTTCAGCCGCGTGTCAGAAGCTGGTACAAGCAGCAAAAAGGAAGCAGCAGGCGTGATTTTGCTTCTCCTGCTGCGTCCAGTTTGAAATTGCAGCATTATTACATTATTACAGCATTACTCCCCTCTGGCTTTGCTCTGCCCACGGGCTGCTGAGAGGAGAATGGTGGCGCCGGTTGCGGTCCGCTCTTCTTGCAGCCAAACACCGAGCAACTTTCTGCTCTTAAATTGTTTACGTGCGCGATGTATTGCATTGCGCACTATTAGCATCAGTCTTAATAAAGTGAAGCCGCACTTTTGACCTGGGGGGCATTTTAAAGGAGTTCCGCGACGCTCACAACCAGTTCACAACAGATACACATCAACCCTGGCTGTAGGCCTGACCACCTGTGTATTTTTCTTGGATGACGCAATCACGTTAAGTGTTACAGCCAATCACCGAAACTTGGTACCGAAAGACGAGGCATGTTTCGATACTCGGTAGAACCGAAACTTTTCGGTCGGTACCATAAAAGAACCGAAGTTTGGTACCCAGCTCTATTGAGGACTGGACTTGAGTCCCCCTGTTTTTAATGATCTTTGAAAGGAAACATCCAGCTTCTCATTTCTTTTTCCAAACCACTTTCTTGGGAGAGCTGTTGCAAATCAACCATGGCTAAAAAGATTTATTCAGGCATCCGATTATTTATTATGATTATTGCATCCATCCCTATCAAAGACCAATAAGTAAAAAAAAAAAAAAAAAAAAAAATATAGGCCAGACAACGAGCCCTGCTATCAGAGAAGAGGGTCTCATAGTAACTCTGGAGGAGCTGCAGAAATCCACTGCTCAGGTTGGGAATCTGTTGACCAGAGTAATATAACTGCACTCTAAACAAATCTGCTCTGGAAAGATTGGCAAAAAAAGCCGTAGTAGAAATAAGGAAATTTTTAGTATTCCACAAGCCGTGTAGAGAAAACATGAAAAAGGGGGGGTTCTGGGTTAGCTGAGGCCAAAAGTGAATTCTGTGGCTAATAAGTGCAATGCTAAATGAAAATCTATCTTGCATTGGCACCAACTAGTTAGTGTTCATGTGGCTGCAACAGATTATAGACTAGGGTTGATGTTATTAATCCCTACTTACTCTGACATAGTCCATAGTTTGAGTTTCTTTTAAACAGAGCGAACTCGTGTTTTTAAACGCCTTAGTCAAAGCCCACACTTAAATATAACTAGGAGTCAGTGGAAAGACTTGAAAACTGATGTCTGTAGAAACTCATCATCCATCTTCTTTCAGTATAGAGGTACAAAGCTGGAAGAAACAAATCTCCAGAGACTTGCAGCCTTAACTGGCGTGAAGCTTTTTCAACATTTTACTGACTCAACAGACTGAGAATAAATGCATGCAACTGCTGGATTTTTGTATAAAACTACATCCTTTTCATTTAGTTTAATAGTGTTATGACTGCATATATTTATAAAAATCCACAATAAAATGCATTGAAACTTGTTTTTGTAAAAAAAAAAAAAAGAAAGGGTATAAAATAAATGTTTTTGTTCTGTATTAAATTTTTCCTTTGACAGTTGGTTTCCGGCTTTTTCCCATCAGCGAGCAACATTATTTGAGAAAAGCAATAATGATAATAAAAAAAGAAGAAAAATCTGTGGTGCTGGTCGGAAGTGTAGCACTTATGTTTTTCTGGGAACCAGAAAGTAAAGCAGGTTTGTTTTTGTTTCTGCTCTTTCAGCAAAGTGGCAGAAAGGAAAGAAGTGATTGAAAAAGGAAGTGAAGCAGCAAGTAGCTTAGTTTCTGTAGCTGCTGGTATGAGACCCTCTTTAAAAAGGATCAAAAGCTTTGCAATTATCAGTAGAGACAAAGTTGACCCTTTCTTTCTGTGTTGACAGGGCCACACAAGAATATTGTGTCTAGTATTATCTGACTTCTTTTCTTAAATCCACAATGATCTGAAATTATATAGAATATTCTATTCCCGTTATGGTTTGCTTTGTTTTCCGGTGTTCAGTTCTTTGCTTTAATTATCAGGATATGTGAAACACAACAGCAAACCTAAAACTTGATTTAATGAACAACGAAAACAAGCAATTAGACATGATGTAAATAGACCTGTATTTGGAGGGAAAACGGCTTTCTGCTTCAAGGCGCAGCAATACTATTATCTTGGAATGTGTCTCCACATGTTGGAGTTAGTATAGATAAAAATAAAGATTATATCCCCACTGTTTTGGGGTTTCTATTCATTCACAGCGATCATCCATTCATTAAGTCTTTTTTTAGCATTTAATTAAACAAAAAACGGGGTTAAACCTTGCACACATTTTTTTTTCTTTTGGAGGTAAGTATGTTTCGGCAAGGCAAGGCAAGGCAAATTTATTTGTATAGCACAATTCAGTACAAAGACAATGCAAAGTGCTTTACATTATTAAAATACAGGAAGATAAATGAAATAAAATAAAAAATGCAGAAACAAAAAAGAATATTAAAAACAGTTGGACTAAAGAAAATATGTTTTAGTTGAACTGTTTAACTAGAACAGTCGAAGGCAATCCTAAACAAATGTGTTTTTAGTCTTGATTTAAAGGAACTGAGGCTTTCCGCACTTTTACAGTTTTCTGGAAGTTTGTTCCAGATAGGTGGAGCATAGGAACTAAATGCTGCTTCTCCATGTTTAGTTCTGGTTCTAGGTATGCAGAGCAGGCTGGAGCCAGAAGACCTGAGTGGTCTGGAGCAGAGGTCTTCAACAGGGGGTCCGTGACCCCTAGGGGGTCTGCGGAGGCACTGCATAGGGGTCGCAAAACTTTTGGTTGATTTTTTTTTTAAATTCCCTCCTGAATTGAAATGTCTTTAAATCCACATTAAAATGAATTCAACAGACTGCAGTAAACAGATAAATGGAGGCAGAAGATGTCTTTAAGCCATCAATGCACACATTCAGAGACACACAGGAGCTCTTTCAAGCTGGGCACCGTTTCATTTACAACACCTGTCCCATCAACCAGGAATCAGAATCAGAAATACTTTAATAATCCCAGGGAGAAATTACTTTCCTTACATTACTCCATCTGTAATAAAGTGACTATAGGACCAGGTTGATAGAACACTATTTCATACAATGTATATAATTAGAGGGTCCCCGCTCCATCTTGTCATCAGTTTGGGGGTCCTTGGCCTGGAAAACGTTGAAGACCCCTGGTCTGGAGGGTTGATACACTGATAGCAAGTCTGTGATGTATTTAGGTGCTAAGCCATTCAGAGATTTAGAGACTAACAGAAGTATTTTAAAGTCTATTCTCTGAGATACAGGGAGCCAGTGTAAGGACTTTAGCACTGGGGTGATGTGCTCTACTTTCTTAGTCTTAGTGAGGACATGGGCAGCAGCGTTCTGGATCAGCTGCTGCTGTCTGTCCACTTTTTAGGCAGACCTGTGAAAACACTGTTGCAGTAATCAATTCGACTAAAAATAAACGCATGGATTAGTTTTTCCAGATCATGCTGAAACTAATGTCTCAGTAAGGGTGAAATGCAGTAAGGGTGACTACATTTTTATCATCTGAAATAAAAGATGCAATCAGAAACGAGTCGATGATCTTCTCTGAGTTTGTTGTTAGAAACCGTTACAGCAATCTCCTGGTTTCCCTTTGAGCATGGGAAAGACGGGGCAGGGTTTCCTGCCACCTCAGACGCATCCGCTTTCCTAACACTGACTCCAGGCCTCAAGTCTCCTCCGACAGCCACACAAACACAATCACGCAGACAGATCTGCAGCGGTGCGGCCTCACAGCTGCAGAGTACGGTTCACTGTGACCCTCTCTCTACTTTAATTTCCATATCCTGGTCGCGATGAGTCGAAAACCCAGCGACGTGACCTGCTGCTCTCCGGATTTGGGTTCTTTTTTTAAGTATTGTTAGTCTAAGCAAGAGGATTTATTTTAGAGCCTTTTTATTTTTAGTAGTTTAGAACAGGAAAAGTCCAATAGAAAGATAAATTTGGAATCCAGTGCTTATGTGACGGGATGAGGCTTGAGAGAGACATTTAAATTTAAACACAAAGAAGGGGTTTCACTCTTTTTTTTTTTATGCACAAAAAAACTTCATAAAGTCATAAAGTTTGGTTTACGTCAATGTACTTTTGATAGAAGTTTTGGGGTTTAATGTTCATGTCAGCTTTAGCTTTTCAATTCATGGATTAAAATTAACTACTGAAAGCAAGTTCTAAGAATTGCATGAAGGAAAAAGTTTGTTTGAACTACAAGGCTAAAAAAATCTAAGATGTAAACAGCTTGTCCTTCTGGGAAGGAAACATTTATAGGGATATATTTCTCCATGTAGGATTAAAATAAGGCATTTATCTATTTTGTGGAAGAATCCATGTTTCTAATAGAAATTTTAGCATGTTTAACAGTGTCTTCCTCTCTGTCTTCTACAGCGTATCTGTGCTGATCTTCAACACAACCTCACACTGTTTTATCCTTGTCAAGCAGTTCCGTCCAGGTACTTCTCTTATTTTTACTTCCCATCTTATTTATCTCTTTCGTCACTGAACTAAATTTGGACTTTCAAGCATCCTGTGTGCACTTTCAAAAATACAAACACTACGAAATAAAGGAACCTCTGTAGAGATTTAAATTCAGGGAAATCTGAACCACGATAGACAACTTCCTCTATCTCGTTTAGAGGATTCAATTATATGTATCTTTATACTGTCTCGCTCTGTTGTTATTATTAGATTTCCCCTTTTTTCTCGCACCCTCAGCTGTTTACATGTGTGAGTGGGAAAAGGCCAAGACAAAGATCTCTCAGGAAGCTGAAAAAACTGAAGAGGGAGAAGCTTCTGAATCTCAAGAGGGCCCGTCGGCCTCAGCTGGAGAGAGTTCTTCCCAGTGGCCCCCAGCCTCAGCTGGGGTCACCTATGAGCTTTGCGCCGGCCTAGTGGACAAGCCAGACCTGTCGCTGGAGGAGATCGCCCGGCAGGAAGTGCTGGAGGAGTGTGGCTATGATGTACCAGCTTCCAAGCTGAAGAGGATCACTTCATACAGGTTAGCTCTTTCAGCACCGATTTTATAGACGCCCCCTAAGACATAAGATCCAGGTTGGAGACAAAAACAGAAGCACATCATCTGTTAAACCCTCTGAATCCCCCCTTTTAATTGGCTGACCATCAAAGACGCTTGTCAGACTGAAAGACGGTGAGAAGCTTAACAAATTCATCCCAGGAGTTGGAGGGCATATGAATAAACCATGAGTGCAGAATGATTCCCTTACTCATGGTTCTGAAGCACGGCGGGAATCATTTCCTGGCATAAGGAAAAATAGGGTTTCTCTATAGTGGTGGTCTTCAACAGGGGGTCCGTGACCCCTAGGGGGTCCACGGAGGAACTGCATGGGGGTTGCGAAAGTTTTGGTTGATAAGCCTTTTTTTTTTTTTATTATTGCCCCCTGCCATTTATTTTTTTTTATTAATTGAAATGTCTTTAAATACACATTAAAATGAATTCAATACCCTGTAGTAAACAAATCTGTGGAGGCAGAAGATGTATTTCAGTCATCAATGCACACGTTCAGCGACACACAAGAGCTCTTTCAAACCTGGGCACCGTTTCATTCACAACACCTGTCCCATCAACGAGGAATCAGAATGAGAAATTACTTTCGTTACATTACTCCATCTGTAATAGAGTGACTATAGGGCCAGTTTGATATAACATAATTTCACACAATATATATAACTAGGGGGTCCCCGCTCCATCTCGCCATCAGTTTTCTCTTTTAGAAAAATTTCTCTGTGGGTGGGGTCATGTTTTCACAAGGGTTGAGTTGCACTTTAAGTACCAGATGTTAAGTTGGACCAATGTTTAAATTTACCAATATGCTAAAACTACTTAAACAAAAAGCTATTCAGGCCATTTATCTTTTTCATTTTCTTCTTTTCCTGTCTTGCATTTAATATTCTTTTATGAATTTTTATCAAAATTAGGGCTGCAAGTAACGATTATTTTGCAAATCGATACATCTGTTTCCAAGTTTAAAGATGTTTCGCTTCCCATCCTGGAAGCTTTTTCTATTAAAATGTCAGATTTAGCATTGATTTCTAGGCTTTATATAGTAGCCCAAAAACTTCTTTTGGCTTAGAAAATATGCAAATTGAACCAGAAGAATCACATATCCACCCCTAAGGAATGGGGAGTCGTTTGTGTTCTTTGTTAACCTGCAATACCCGATGCAGGTCTGTGCCTCTGAAAGGGGGGTCGTTAGGGGCAATTGTTGGTCTGATTTACCCGGAGGGAGTTTTTTTTTCCCCTGCATGGGGGTGGGGGTTGAGATGATAGCGGGAAGAAATCAACTCTATCGCTAAGTTTTAGGTTTTTGAGAGTTTTGAATTTCCTTGCAGATTTGACAAGTGCCCAGTTTGGGTATCGACAGGTTTGGATAGCATCTTGGATGGATATCCAAAAGACATTCAGTAGAACATAAAAGTGAGAAGATTAAATGCAAAACATCCCATATGTTGCTGGAGTCACTGAAAAACTCAAGAGAATTTTCTCTAAAAACAAAATTCCAGTACATTTCAAACTAAACAAGACCCTAAAACCGAGACTAGTGCATCCTAAAGACAAAACCCCCCATTCCTAAGATGAACAGAGTGGAGTATGCAGTTCAATGCAGTGAGGAATGCTCTGATCTTTATAATGGAGAAACCAAACAACCTCTCCACAGACGCATGGCCCAACACAGAAGAGCGACCTCCTCGGGACAGACTCTGTGGAACATCTACACCTCATGGACAAAGGACATTCTTTGGAGGACCAGAATATTCACATTTTGGACAAAGAAGACAGGTGGTTTGAAAGGGGTGTGAAGGAAGCCATCTATGTTACTAGAGAAAAAACAACCTTAAACGGGAGGGGAGGGGTGGACTCTGGTTTCAGCTCTCAAAAACGTACAACGCAACGATAGAGTTGATTCCTTCCCGCTATCATCTCAACGCCCACCCCCATGCAGGGGAAAAAAACCTCTCTCCTGGTCAGCCAGACCAACAATTGCCCCTAACGACCCCCTTTCAGAGACATGGACAGGTATCTTGTATTGCAGGCTAACAAGGAACACTAACGACTCCCCAATTCCTAAGGGGTAGATGCGTTCTTCTGGTTCAATTTACATATTTTTTAAGCCAAAACAAGTTTTTGGGCTACTATATAAAGCTTTAACTCAATGCTAAATCTGACATTTTGAATTTCAAAAAGCTTCCTGGATGGGAAGCAAAACGTCTTCAAACTTGGAAACAAAGTCCAGTGGATTTTTTTTTGGAATAACCCTGGATGACTAAGAATCTTCACCAGCAGATTAATCTGTTGTTTGATTAATTGATTAATAATCAGATAGCCAAAGATTCCTTAGTTTTTTTAACGTAATTAAACGACTCAAACTTTTCCACTTGAGAAGATGGAGCACTTTGACAGATGAATCTTAAATGCAAAATGTTGGTATTTATAAAACAATCTTGGTATAGTTTCTGCTCTAAGTGGGGTTGTTCTGTCAGCTAAAGGAGTTTTACAGTCTCTTTACTCCAGTTAACGATTAATCATTTATTAAATTAGGTGACAATTATTTCAGTATTCGATTAATCACATTTAATCCAGATAATTGTTTCAGCCCTGATCAAAGTATTAGTTTTCATCATGTTTGACAGCTAATGCAATACCTGGTCTTTTGTCATAATCAGCTGGTAAATTCTAGATTTTGTACCTAAAACCTCAATAGCAGAATTGACCACATCAGCCTTTGTTATAAACGGGTAGAAATAGGAATTGCCAAGCAAAGCAAGTTCATATCAGAGATTTAAATATTTTTTAAACACGTCTGCTTACACAGTTTAGCTACAGCATGGTGCTGGATGATTTTAACGAGCTGTCTGTTATCCTGAGATCCGCTGAAAGCGAAATGACCAGCATGTCATTCAGAGCACCATCATTTTTTTTTTAGCGTTAAGAATTTTTCTTGGTGCAAGCAACTGTTTTATTATTTGATATCAGATTTTTCTTAGGAAAGTATAAAGCATATTGTTAAAGGAGGAAGCGCAGTACAACGAGATAAAATAATGAAGCCATTTGTGTGAGGGAAACCTCTGTAATGATACCCAACTTTTAACTTCGGGAACTTCTTAAAATAATAAGCTGTGAGAGTGAGTTAGAAGGAAACCATTCATCACTGTCAACATGTTGGCTGCCTGGAGCTGCCAGGATGCGAACAGTCCCACATCTGACAGTAAAAGCTGGACAGGCGTGACTGAAAGCTAACAAAAATCTGTTTTTGATTTGACTTGAAAACCTCCTCCAGCTCCGTTGGCGTTGTCTGTGACCATTGTTATGTGCGGGCTGCTTCCATTGTGTAGAGTGGTATCATCTTAACCCACATAAAACCTATGAGGGCGTTTTTTTTTATTTTATTATTTTTTTTTTTTTACTGTCAGAAGTCATCCATGTAGCAAAAAGCGGTCTAACCTTTAGATTTACAGGCATGGAAAGCTAAATGACTCAGGAAGTAAAAAACCCAAACAGGACATAATGGTGTTTTACTCTACAATGCTACGGAAAAGTATTGAAACCTCTAGAAAATGTCCACATCTTTTAATAAATCACAGACTGAAGCATATAAAACCAAGTAGGTAATAATTGTGAAGTTGAAAAATAATCATAGATGTTTATCTTTTTTTTTATTTTTTTAATAAAGATCTGAACCTTGTGCAAAATCTTCGCTTTCAACTTCCTAGAGTCACTAGACTAAGACGAACTTTATTATCATTTTTTTATGCACAAAGTGAACGAAATCCGGTTGCATAGAGCTTACAACAGTGTAATAATATTTCAGTTGGAGTAAGATAAACATGAGCAATATAAAGTGCAGCAGTGAGAATCTAAACCAGGGGTCACCAACCATTTCAAGGCTGAGGGCTACTTCATGGCTATCGAATCATAGGAAGGGCTACCAATACTGACCTATGAACAAGAGGGGTCAGCGTTCACCTAAACTTCATCCAAATTAAACACATTTTTATTGTTAACTTTTAATTTCTAATTTTCCTTTAAACATTATAATTTTAAAATCTCTATAAATGCTAAAATGCCCTATATGATTACTATGATGAAATGCTCTATAAATGATTAAAAAGAAGAGTCACAGAATAAAATAAAATTTCAAACTTAGCCCACTGCTGACTTGCTGTTTTCAGAAGGTGTTGAGGGCACCCCATGTGGTCCTTGAGAGCCCCTTGGTGCCCACGGGCACCACGTTGGCGACCCCTGATCTAAACAGTGCAGAAGAATAAAAATACAGTTTAAAAATAATGGTGTGAAAGGGCATTAATATGAAAAGGTTCAGTGCAGTGCAAAATAAACATTCAACAGTCTGATGGCAGTGGGGTAAAAGCTGTTGCAGAATCTGCTGAACCTGCAGCGGATGCTGCAAAGCCTATTCCCAGAGGGCAGTAGGGAGAACAGTGCATGTTGGGGGTGTGGAAACAGAATGCTCTCTATGGCGCTTCTGTAGAAGGTGGTTAGGATGGGTTCAATCACTTTTTCTCTAATCTTTGCATTAAGTCTCTAACAGCTTGGCACAATTATTAAAGGATATTTTAGCCCATTATTCTTCAGAGCATGACGCTGCCATCACTGTGTCTCAAAATGGGAATTTTGTGTTTTTAGGCCCATTTGCATTATATCGTTCTGCATATCAGCCAAAAAATATTATCTTATTCTTTTCTTCTTAGAGGACCTTCTTTAAAATGCTTTCTATGTCCTTTAACATACTTGTAGAATGACTCCTTCTGGGTTTCTTTTAAGACTGATTTACTTTTTGCCAATCTTCGATTAAGCTGGTAAATGTTCGTAAATTCTGCTACCTGATCTCTGTAGCTCCTGCAGAGTTACTCTGTGTCCTTTGGTTGCTTCTCTGGTTTATGTTCTCCCTATCCAAAATCCCACTTTGAAAAAGAAAAACAGCTTAAGAAGTGTGATTCTACCGATTATAGAATTTTTTTTTAATGTTTAAAAACCTCTATTGTTCCTTTTTTGTGTTTCGATTGTGAAATTGTTGTTAAATATTGCATACAAAGGGTTAGAATGAGCCTTTTTCATCTTTAAGTTAAAAGAAATCAACAAAACTTGAACAGTTTTAATTGATTTAAACATGAAAAGATAAAAATACAGATTTTCATTCCTCTTCTCTTCCACAGGTCAGGCGTGGGTGTAACGGGTTCTAAGCAGACAATGTTTTACGTGGAGGTGTCCGACGACAACTGCGTGAGTGCCGGTGGAGGCGAGCCCCGCGAGGGGGAGCTCATCGAGGTCGTCAAAGTCCCACTGCACGAGGCCATGACGTTTGCCTACGACGAACGTATACCCAAAACCATGGGCGTCATTTTTAGTTTCATCTGGTTCCATAATAACATGTCTCCCAAGTACAAGATTTCTACCAATGTGTAACTGCCATTAGTTTAACACTCTTTCTGTCATTTACTGCATATTAAAGTCAAACACTGGTTCAGCACATTTCTGCTACCCCTCACAGCTCATATCCTGTTGTTGCCTTTTAGCTTATTGGTACACAAACGAGGGTCCTTATCACTTTTAGCTTTTTTTTGTATTTTGATAATCCTTCATACATCAGTTTGCCATAGCTGGTTGCCACTGGCTCTTTTAATCTTCTTAAATTTAGAAACTTTATCTTTTTCTAATGTGCCATCTCTTTTAAATGGCTTCATATCACCAATTCTTTTTGCCTGCAGAAAGAAATCCCCCTTCGCTTTAATGGAGTTCTTGAATGTTTTATTTTTTGTTCTTTTTACCTTCAAAGTGGCCATCCTTTATTTATTTTAATCCCTCTTTAGGTTAGGCATGGGCCGGCCTGAGATTTCCATGCTATCATAACCGTATTCACACACAAAAAATTAAAAACTAAAAATGTATGAAAAGATCTAATTGCTTTTATTTGACACAAATATTTTTAAAGCTGCTCAGATTAGATTGTCAGCTAAAATGTTATCAAGTTAATTTTTAAATGAACTTTTCTGACGCTTAGGAGAAACTGCTTTCCAGCAGCCAGCTGACTGGCAGTGTGCAGCATCTTTCCTTGGAGCGAAACTGCTGCTCCATATGGATGCAGAACATTATGTTGACTCCAGTGTTCCCTATGTTGTTAAAATTTCTGATTTGAAGCTAACAGACTTCTCTGTTGGAAAAAAATATATATATATATATAATGCCCCTACCTTTGCACTTAATATAACTGCAGTATAATATAATAGCTCAATCCAGTTAGCAGCTATCTTAGTACAAGCACTAACCGTTCAGAAACACCTAAGCCCTTTCTTAACTTTTTAACTATGATGTCAACCTACAATATACCCCATTTTGCAAGTCTGGCTGCATGCGTGTGTGAGAACATGCAGACCGTACTTTACATCAATTTCGAATCTGAATTGGAAAACAAAAATAATCCAGTTATGCAAAAATATTGTTGGGCAAATACGATGTTCAGGCAAGCCATATGTCTTTTCTCTGGTCCCCATCCTTTAAGCAATAGTTGTTCTAATACTCATTATTGAACAATCACTTGTTATGGCTCATGTTAATGCCAGTCAACTTAAAATCAACCCTTGATCACCACACAGGGACATGACACACCTACCTTAACTCTGAGGGTACTGAAGCACAATCAGACGTAAACCTTCTGGTGAAGGGGCATTAATAAAATCTAGCTCTAAGATGAGGACTATCTTTGAGAAATGGGGGAAATTTGCTTTTTTTTTTTCAAATAACATCTTGCATTTCATTACAATTAAACTTAGCTTATAGGTTTATTTAAGAAGCAGAGCAATAGCCATGTTTGTTGTACCTGTTGTGGAAATCCTTTTACCGAGCAGATATGGCTGAATCTTACCGGTATTTAAGATTTGGTTTGCCGGCAGACGTATTTAAAAAGTTCTGGTGCACTGGAAAAACCATCTAGAAATAAGTAAAAATTACTGAGATTAAGTGTATATATCCTTAATTTGAGTAGATAAACGAGACAGCTTGCCAATGGAATGAAGATATTTACTTTTAAAATAAGATAATTAGATAAATTGCACTTGAAATTAGACAATGCAATTGTGTTTTCTTATTTTAAGGGTAAATTGTCTTGTTGCATTGGCAAAGAGTCTCTTTTATCTCCTCAATTTAAGAACAAATGCACTTACTTTAAGAAAAAACTGACTTATCAAGATTTTTATTTTTTCCGGTGTGAACCTTGTCAATCAGTAGGAAAAAGAATTAGACCTATTTTTTTAACATTTTAAATTTTCATCATAGGAACTTTAGGAAAACCATACAGAAATAAATTCTTTCTAGTTGCCATGAAGAAAAACTTCAACCTCTCATTAAGACACAGCTCATCCGCAAGTTGCCAGATCTCAGGTCCAATTACTTAAACCTTATAAATCAACTAATCTTTGAATGTGACAATGACCAGCATGTCATTATAATCCTAAAACATCCACATTCTAGCTGAAGACATCCTAGACTCCTCTGTTCCCACATAAATTTTCATTAAAGAAGGGCTGGTATTTCATTAAGGATTTCATAAAAAAACAAACTCCCACATCGAAGTGTTTAAATAATATGCAAGCTCTAGAACAAAGGCCATAGTGGTTGTGCCACACATTGATTTTCGTGTGAAGCAGATAACACGTCTCACAATGAGAAGCAACCAAAATGTAACTGATATGTTGTTAACTGCGCCGCCTGCGGACTGGGCCGGTAATCTGTCACCACAAGAATGCCTTGGGACATATAAGGCTATTATTTGGAGGAGTGTGAGACGCAATGTGGGAAAAGCACTGAAATGAGTGACACGGCCATTGTGTTTTTAAGTAGTAAATAATATAAAATGTTAAATTTGGCTTGGTGTTTAAACTTAGTGCTGATTTAACTAAACGGTGTAATGTCTTTTTTTAATCTTTAGGTTATTTTTTTGTTTAAATAGGTGCTGAGTTTTAAAAACAGGGTTGTACAGTGAGTTTCCAGCCTCTTGGCAATAGCTACTACAGATCCTATAAAAAGCTCTCTCTGAAAATAAAGAATTTCATGTAGTTTTGTAAAAAAGGATATTACATTTTCTTAATTCAACCATTAACGGGTGATTCTACACTTGTTTACTATAAGATATGTTGAAGGAGAGCTGTTAATGTAGCTCTGGTGTCCTAAGGGACCCTTTGCACCTTAATAAAATGACCCAACAGCTTTGGTATAGTTAATATATTGCTGGATTATAAACAAATTTTGGAAAAAATTATTTCAGTGCAGGGGGTAAACTCTTTGCTACTAACCTGAGGATCATATATTTGCTACATACCTTCACCGTTGGTTTTAAGTTCCACACAGGATGGCAAAAAATAAAATTCAATATTTTCAGCAGCTTATCAGCAGCACTGGAGAATTCAGGTAAACGTTATTCTCTACAGAGCAAAGCACACTACTGTCCGGGATTTTGTGCAATAATTTTAACCCTGTGCAGCACATATCTCAGTGCAGTCCAAAGTGATCATGCACCTAAAACATTTTTTTTACTGATCAATTTGAGCCAATCACAGAGCCCCTGAACCAGTGTGTATAATTATGCTTTTATTCGCTCTTAACTGTCTTAACATGGCATAGGTTAAACAACTGAAAAAAAAAAGAAACGGATACCTGTCCTTTTCTTCCGCTAACCTCTATGCACAATTTGGGGGTGTGTGCTCTTAACCCTGGATGGGAGCTTTATGATAAAATTGGCTACTTGGAGTGCTGCCAGCTTAGTGTGGGTGTAGTTAAACTAAAAGTTAAGCTAAGTTAAGCTCTTGACGTGAAGCAAGCATGAGCTGCTCTTATGATCAAGCCATGTAGATGTGCTACGGGATCCAGGGGCTAAACATACTGCCACCTCCATGCTGTTTGTGCAAGCTTAAAGAACTATCTAATACTATTTTTGACATCCTATAAAGTACCCTACAGACAATAACCAGATTCAGGCATATTTCCTTTCTGCAGAACATCCTGCTGCAGTCTTAGTTGTGAAGAGGGCCTAAGTAGCATTCACGTTAGGAAGGCAGAGCAGTCTCAAGTTTTAAGGCAACAGATCACCTTCTTTTTTATTTGAAGAAATGCCTTTGAGGACCAGTTTACTCCTAATTTTGTTTCTGGGATAGTTAAAAAAGACAATCAGATTTTGAGATTTTCTTTATCTTTGTGTATCATTTGTCAGGTAAATATCTATTTCTCAGATTCTACAATCTTGGCAGCCTTATAGCAGACAACACAGTGCTTTCCCACCTTGAGGTCTTACCACTTGCACAAACAAATATTTTTGTTCAAAAAAACCCCATAACATTTTGGTTCATTTGAAACACCATTATAGATTTGTTTCTCTCTCAAGCTGTTTTCATATATGCATATATTTTTAGAGCCATACATTATAATTCAATGAGCTTCCATCATGTTGTGTTGCATAGATTTACTTCTTGCATTAATGTTCTTAAAAAACAAAAACCTTTTTAAAATCAAAAATCAATGCCAAATCATTCAATTAATAAACTTATTGTGTCAGTTTTTCCCATCCATTTTGTAGAAACTCTGGATTCAACACAATTTTGCTATCAGAAATCTCAACATGATGTTTTAGTTTAAGGTGAAAGATTACAATCTAAAGGCAGCTGTGGATTTTTAAATACAAGTTATTACTTTACATTATAACCAGCAACTGTACTTAAAGAAAAATTACAAAATAGCTCCTTTGCTTTAGAATACTGATGCAGCTCATTAAAAACCATAAAAAGTCTACACCATGAACCACAAGAGGAAAAATATATTTTCATAGTAGTTAATGGAACAAAAAAACAAGCCATTTTAACTCAAAGGCCAGTCTGTAACTACATGTGCCTATCAGATGTGGGCAGCGTTGACATACAGTAACATGTGTGAGCTTACTGCACTTATCATATTTTGAGTGTGTTTTTCCAAAGCTGTTTTGAGGCTCTAAAGTTGGATTGGAAACTTAAGTTGAATGACAGTCATAGTCAGTAAAAAGCTCTCAGGAGTGATTATTTGAGACAAAAGAAAATAGGAGAAATTCTAATAATCGCAAACTAGAAAATGGGGATTTTCTTTGCATGTTCTGGATTAATAATTGCTAATACACGCCTGTCTGTTTAAACCTCTTTTGGACGTGCTTGCAGATTTAAAAGGTAGTTTACTCATCAAAGGAAAATTATCTGCAAAGTGCAAAGGTCATGTAACTTAGAGTCGATTGTTTGCAAGAATTTTTATTACAAAAAGGTAAACGATTGGCATGGAGGCACTACAGGTTCAGCTGGCTTAGCCTGTTTGCTAAAAAGGCAGTTATGCACCTGAAGGAAACATGAAGTTATGTTTTGCTATATTTCTGGAGAGCCAGTAGAAGTTTTGTTTTCATAAAAGTAGGCCTCCCAGTTGTGTGGAAATGGGGTTAAGATCCTAAACATGATAAGTACCAAAAGAAAAATTTAAACCAAATTTCCTTTTACTTTCTTTCAGTTTAATGAAAGCGATGAATTTCCGGATTTTTAAGGAAACTTTTGACTTTTTTGGTCTTCAGTCATAGCACTGAATTAATCATCTAAAATGTGGAAGTTTAAGTTTTAAGAAATTTAGTAGCTTCTTTTTTTTTCCGGTCCAGATTATTATAAATAATACCGTACGCTAAGTGGTAATTTATATCTTCATCAGCGCAGCTAATGGTTGGCTACAATTTTAGATCCACTAGGAAGTCTATGATTCATGCTTTCACACATTTGGCAAGGAAACAAATCTCTTTCCTAAACATCTTCCTGAGGTGTAAAGTTATTTATATAAGCCAGAGTTTTGTGCTTTATGACAGCTGTAGATGCACTTTGGCTAGTTTAGAGTGAGGTTACAGACTGAGCCACAGATAAGCCATATGTATCTTACGTAAACAAACAGTATTCTAATTTTTAAGATAAATCATGTATGAGCTTGATTTTAGTCCCTGCATTTCTACCTCCATCACTCAGGCTCACAGCAAAGGTTTTCTTTTTTTATTTGCTGTCTTCTAAGGCACTTTGTATGTCTTAATGCTCAACAACACTTATAATAAGTCAGCACAAAATGGATTTCAGTAGTCACAGAATAAAATCATCAGTACAAGGATTTTGCTTCTTCAAATGTGATGCATTATTGTTTTCTTTTTAAGGATTTGTGCATATCTTTCACCGTTTCTGCTGTATTCCTAATGTTTCAAGTTAGAACATTTTTTTAAAGGTGCTTTGTGTAGAATCCTGAAAGAGAAGGTGATTTACTCTCAAACCAGGCCACTGTTCTGGGCTGAACAGTGCTTGATTACCTCTTGTCATTCGACACACAACGGTTCTTGCTTTGCTAAGGAATCTTGAAAAATGCACTTTGATTGTGTGCAGGTCGGTCACTTTTGCCTCTTTTCTTGCATTTGGAAGGCAAATTTTAAGAAAAAAGACTCATAAGTGACTCATTGAGACTTGTTGCACTCGATCTATTTGGTAAAGTTCAGTGAAAATCCTACACACAATACCTTTAAATGCGAGATTTTTCTTATCGTAAATATGAGACAAACGTGGGACTTTTTTCTTTCATTTCATGTGTCTCACTGAAATTGTGTTTTTATGAAAACAATTTCTTAAAAAAAAAAAAATCTATGAATACAAAGATTGCTGATTTGCATTTCTGTATTTTCAGCTATGTTTATGAGTATCCACATTGTGGGCAGTGTTACTAGTAATGCTTATGTTTT